TGTAATTTAAAATTGATAAAGAAAAAAAAATGCTAATATTTATTGTACTATTTCAAATGTAATCGTGCAAAATTCTTAGTCTGATCACTATGGCTACAAGCAACTATACAGCTTCATTCGATTTTTTTAATATTAAAAACTAGTAACGCAAGATGTATCATTCGGCAAACGCGCCCGTGGACGATTCTTTAAGTGCCGATTTAAATGTCTCCTCCCCCTGATTTAAATAGACGAAACTCAAATAGGTTGGGTACGACTTTTCCAGATTTGGTATATCTATAGGCATTTTAAAATCTCCAATTCTTTAAAATTTATGCTGATTTAGGTGAAGTTTTACGTGATTTTGAATAAGAAATATCCACCAGTGTTTAACTGTTACCAACAGAGAAGGATTTGGTAATATATTCTGTATTAAAACGGCACTGAATAAGGGTCCATTCTCTATTGCTTAAGTTCACTTGAACTTTGTTCAAATTAAGGGTGGGTAGGGCGGGGTTACAATGAGTGATCAGAGTTTTACATAGGAATACTTAGGGAAAAATCTTTAAAATTCTTCTGCTCAAGAACAGCAAAGCCATGATTAGTAATATTGATATGGAAGTATCCTGAGGTAGTGTAAATTTAAGCCCCCAGGTCAACGTTTCAATACTGAACTGATTTCTTTTTCAAAGGCAATGTGCTCAGATGAGCGATGTGGTCCATGGGCCTCTTGTTTATGTAGCAATATATCATTGCCACCTGCATATGGATGCTTTATATCTTTACGCAAGAGCATTCTACAATTTCTAAACAATTTCTTAAACGAGATAAGCTATTGACAAATAAGTTGATGATACAAGGATATCAACAGTCTCGTTTTAAGTCAAACTGTTGATTGATTAAAACTGTTATCTTAATGTTCCTTAATAATCCGTGTCATATTTGGTCCAGTTTCACTGGAATAAGTACCCAATTATACATAGAACTCTAGAAGTATTTTTTGCATTTGGATATTTTACTGATAATAGACGTTTGTTTTTAACCAACTAACAACTAAGCTACATGTACATGTATATGACAAACTGGATGATTTCCAAATCGGCTCTTCCATCGCCATCTTCTTACATGTATATGTTTTTTAATAGTATTATTATACCTCATTATAATTATTCTATACAACGTGTAATCTGATTGGTTCTAGATTATCACGTGACAGGGCCATAAAACTTCATATTTCCCTGTCGTTGTCATGCTTTTTATCATATTTAACCTCTTCGGAACCTGGTGCATTTTCCCGCAATAGTTATCGTTCGTTGAACGAAAACTCCCGAGAGTAAGTAAGACGTCACAATAGTCTGATTCACGTCACAAATTATGTAAATTGTTTCAGAAACACTACGTTATAATTAAAAGTGAATTTAAGAGCGGGGCCGAATTTGAAAGTTTATGTTTATTTTTCAAGTTTTTGCTTGTTTCGGTATAATAACAATTTATTGCATGGATGTTCGGGAAACATGAAGATTTATTCGGCCAAGAAAAATATTCCCCTCGAGCAAAGCCCTCGGGGAATATGATTTTTCTTGGCGGAATAAATCTTCATATTTCCCTCACCATCATGCAATAAATGTATTATATTACACTATCGACTGCATACGGTGTTTTTAAAAGTCGCGTAACTTATTCGGTACGCAAGGGTATGCTCTGAGTATGATCAACATTTAAACAGAGTTAGAATACTGACAAATAAGATGATGTTACAGGGATTTTAATAGTCTCAATCAAAGTCAGCATTTCGAAAATTCCTTGGTCATTATAATGACCTTATTGGCAAATACATTTATTTTTTCCACTTTTCAAAATATTCATAAGGTTATACACTTTTTTTAATTTTAGAATCTTAATATCTTTAACAAACAAAAACCCATGAGAGTCGTTTTTTTTTTTTACAAATACGGGATATAATGCTATAGAACCGTGCCGTTGATGCCCAGAAAAATATATAATTGTTCGGACGAATTTTGGATATGTTCTGAAAAACAAGGTACTGTAGATCACCAAATCTTTGCGACACCTTATTTTCGCTAAGTGTAATTGGTATTTATAAGCGAGGCAATATTTTCACGAATGATTGTTGTTGCTGTATGTATTATATATCCTATTCTTATAAACATATACTCCAGAATTAAATTTTCGAGAGCAGACCGTCTCGTGTAATTAGGATAAGAAAAATTCTTGCGCAAATATAAAGTGATTTTCAATAGTACTATCCTGGAGAACCTCTAGGCCAAAAATAAATTCATGCAAAAATCGGTGCTTAAACGGGGAAAATGCGTGTCTTTGCAAACTTTGTTCAAAAATTAATTTTAAAAATGCAAATGATATAAGGTTCACAATGCAAAAGTGAAAAAAATAATTGACATATATATGGTAGAAAATAGTTAATATGAACATTGATATTGAAAGGTATGGTGGCATATTTCTGCCACCACTTGTCTGATGTTTATTTAGACTTGTCAGATGTTTATGTTGACTTGTCAGATATTTATGTCTACTTGTCAGATAATTATGTCGTCTTGTCGGATAATAATCGTCAGGACGAGGAACTCGGCATCTAGCCATTAAAGCCACTAACTGACATTTACTTTCATCATAATATCTGACATGTCAACATAATCATCTGAAAAGTCGATATATTATCTGAAAAGTCAACTTAATTTTCTGACAAGTCAACATAATATCTTAAAAGTCGACATCATTATCTGACAAGTCGACATAACATCTGACAAGTCGACTTGTCAGAAAGTTATTTCGACTAGCCAGATATTTATGTTGTCAGATCCTCATGTCGATTTTCAGAAAAAAAAAATGCAATCGTGTGGCAAGAACTGGGCATGGACACATTTTCATTTTGATTTTTTTAATCACGTGAATAAGTGATAAGTCAACGAAAAGATCTGACAATCTGACAAGTGGGGGCAGAACTATGCCATCATAGAAATATGATCACAGTTCTCTCCTACAGTGCATATTAGGTAACTTCATTTTTTGAAATGAAGTGATCTTTTGTCCTCAGGAGTTCTCGCAGTTGGCTTGGACAATCATAAAAAAAAACTTCACAGTAACAATAATCGATACATATAGTTGTGCATGCAACATTCAAAATGACCGCGGTTGCCACGAAAGTTCAGTTATTGGTTAAATACGTTATTGGTCGTAATACCAGTTTTAGCTGTGCTTCAAAATATTTTGTCCCTGGTACCAGTGACAATAGATTGATATCCTTTCCTGTTAAATTGTCTTTTTCTTGTAAAACAATATCTAGGACCCCCTGTGCATCTTGTCGATGGAAGAAGCATTGTCATAATAAAATAACTACACGTTGTACAGCTGTTAAAAAAGTTATAACGCATTCTGAAAACAAGTATTTTATCAACATAAAGAATCATTGGTGGTATATTGTCTTTATTGTAACAACTACATGTATGATAATACTTTGAAATCATTTTACAGCTAAAGCTCTGATTTGTAGCTGCACTTCTCGGTATAGAAACAAATTCTACCGGTAAAGGCATCATAATGAGACTTGAATAGACACACCACAGAGGTCTAAAAATTGCACACTGAAGAGTTGTAATTATGCAGTTAGAGTGATCTCCCATTAGATGTAAAATAGAATAAATGGAAATCTACAGTGCTTGACAAGTTGTAATAGATTAAAGTATTATTATCAATTTACACTTTATTAGATTAAGATGAAGTAAATGAATTCATTATTTGCATGTATTTTCCCAATGTTAGTAAACAATAGTGATATCTTTTCACTAATACTTTGAACAGTTTTCCTGGAAAAATATGGCAGGCATTCTTTGTTGAAAATGAACTAGTACATATGATATAATTTTCTCAAAGTCCGTAAAATTACTACTTTTTAACCTTCCTTATATTGCATAACTTTCTACTGCAATTGTCATCTTAAATTACATTCCTGAATTTTTCTCAAAAAATTTATGTAACAATTGTTCACATCGATCAGTTTCAAGGATACTTATCCATGTAACATTGAAAGTCTAGCTATCTTTAAATTTGTTATTTAATCAATTTAGCTTTATTAAGATCATTGACATTGACAGCTGTTATCAGAAAAAAAAAACTTCCCGGACAATATTTCCGAATAATTCAGTTTAGTCGAATTTTAAGCTTTTGATCAATTTTAACCTTTCTCTAAAGTTTAACAAAAATATTTATATTGAATGAAAACCAGTGTAGCTCCAGCATTAATTCCCTGGGGATGTGCTTACATAATTGTATAGAATATCTTTTTGATTATCAGGGACTTGACACTACAAGTAAACATTTTAATAGAGGGGGATATTGTACAAAGACAGTAATTACCCCCCCCCCTCCCCTTATCCGATTCGGCTATCTTCTAAACGATAATTCACTTAACTTTCATTGACTCTTTAAAATTATTTACAGAACCAAGACTGTCATCCTGACGTAGTACACTTTTTTGGTAAGTAACTTTTCTGTTAGGTTCTTCTGCCTATAAAACATTATTATTGTGATCAAAAGGTCCTTTTGTTTTATATTTAGCTCAACAAACAAAAATGAGAGTATATAAAGTTTTAGGAAACAATGTACAAATACGTCAGTCAATCATTAAAAATGTAAGACACCCTTGTAGTGTAGATGCATATGCATATTAGTTCATATCAAGCCCTCCACGTTAAGGATCGGGGCCTTAATATGAGGTTACTCAAATTCTTACAGTAGTGGCCCGGGGGTCTCTAGTACCAAGAAAAAAACATCAAGCAGTTTCCTACGTCCTGGCTATTTCCGATCTTACTCGTGTATTTTCATGTATGTAACGAAATAAAAATAAAAATAAATTATTAATTTTTTAATCTCTGTGAATTCATACATGAATTTTCCAACACTGGAATATCCCGGGGAATCTGGTGCTGTCTGTATTTCTTCTTTAGTTTTTCAAACAAAACTTCAAAAAGAATATCAACTACATATTTACCTAATTATTCATGTTTGTTTATTGTCTCCAAATCAAAATCAATATGTTAATGTGATTATGTTTAACACCATGTCATGATCTTTTGTTTTTTCCCCTTGTCTGCTTCCATTGTAGAACTACATGTATTCTCTCTCCCTCTCTCTTGTTTACAATTCACAAATGCAGGTTTGACAAATTCACACGTTATGAATAGTGATTTTGAAGCATTTTCTGGATCTGAACGACTGATCTTTTCATTATACAAAATTTATCTAAAAAGGAGTATTCATACATAGGACAAAATAACATATCACAAAGCAAATAACAAAGTAAATTTAATACAATATATGAATAAATAAATACTGTGTTGTAAATTTTTTTTACATGCATTGTACTTCGATCGTTTAGCCTCAAGATGTTTTTTTTATACAAGTAACAGTTTCAACAAACATACAAATCATAAAATACTATTACAATGTACCTGTACAATGAAACGTGCAAAAAATGTTTATAACTTCTGTAGGAAATTTATTATTTTGTTGTCAATAATTTATTTCAAAGAATATAATAAAACTTAAATTTACAAAACAATGTTGGATCAAGATTTCTTTTGGGATACAGAATTCTAAAGCCCTAAGCTTACAAATTAAAACGTGGATGACTAATTAGCTTAATGTACGAATGTTTTGTACCAAATATATTGATTTAGAATTTCCGCAAACATACAAAGCTACTTCGGAAAAAATATATTTTGTCACAGTAAAGACATTACCATGGGATGTAAAAAAAAAAAATAAAATAAATCTCTCTCTCTCTTCTCTTTCTCTCTCTCTTGTTTTGGATTCACACATATTTTTAAAATCTGGAAAGAGATACTAATCTATGATAAGTACTCAGTAGATTCTTACATGATAAAATGACTGTAATGATTCAATAACAAAAAAAAAGTAACGAAGGATCTAAAGATTAAAAAACTGGAAGTGTCTGAAGTAGTTTTTCATTATCAGCACCATGGCACTCAGAAATGAACACAATCATCATCTTAAAGTTTGATGAGCAGATTGTCAAATGACACACTTTACTTTTGTAGTATCTGAGACCTACTTAAGTTTGAACACATTACAGTAATCTGTAAGTACACTCGTGTGAAGAGTTCAAGTACTATCTGTGAGTATTATTCAATGAATCAGCAAGATCAGAAGCGGGACTTCATAATACAGATGTAAAATACCATGTAGACTAGTCTTCTAAAACATAACGATCTGAAAAACATCAAATTTAAAATGATATCAAAGCGAAATATTTTTTCTCGGTTGTTTCTACAAATTATACATGTTTTAAACAAGTGTTACCATATGTCTAATCATAACAATCTTAAAAGAAAATGTTTTAAAAAGCTTACTAAGACAATGTATTAGACGTTTCTTTGCTAAACAATCTAACATTTTATATACTGAAAAATACCGGTAAATAAATTCGATATAAAGTGCTTTATGTATGAAATTAAGCATTGGTTGTTTGCTTAACGTCCCTTCGAGAATTTTTCACTCATATTGAGACGCCACCACTTGCCAGTGGAGGGCTTCAAATTTAGACCTGTACTGGGCACTTACAGCCTTTGAGAAAAGAGCCATCTTTTTCGTGCCAGCACCAACTGTGACAGGGACTTGGGTTTATATAGTCTCATCTGAAGGACCGGTCTCCACGTCGCACAGTGGATTCGAACCCGCCACCTAAGGATCAAGTCCTTAAGCCGCAAACGCTCTAACCACTGTGCCACGCGGGCGACTATAAAGTATTAAAAGTGGACACTAAGTAAATATTTTCAAATAATTTAGATCAGAAATACAGACCTGTTATATTCAGCGGTTGGGTAACATTATATGTGCCGTTCGAAAATTGCATCTGTTCAGGTTTTTTGATCACTGCTTTGTTTCCAAGAAGTGGATTTGTAGACAATGGGGCATTGGTCCTCGACATCTTGATAATTATCTCTTTGCTGTTTTCTTTCTTTTTGCTGTAGTTTAAAAAAAATATGTCCTTGTACTTTCATAAAATATCGCATTATCAACAATATGCATTATAGAGATTCTTTAACAGGAGGTATATTTTCAATAATTTGTGAATAGATTGCTTTAACTTATTTTTTTTTTTCGAATAGCTTGTAAACATGAAAAAAGTATATTGTTGCACTAAAGTACTCAGTAAGGAAATAGTCCCTAAGATTGTAAAATATGTGTGATATCAAAAAATGCACCCAGAAAACAAAAGACAGAAATAATGCAAAACCATAGTCAAGAATGATTTTTTTTTAAAATTAACAACTGCTAAGACCACCAGGATGTACATATTCATTTCAACACAATGCGATATTGTATATTGTTCATTGTGCGCATGCCGTGGTAGTTGTGGCACTGTTGAATTGCATAATCTCTTCGTATTTGATTTTATTTGCCTCTTAACCTATACTGTTCAATGGTGTATTAACATAATTATCTTGTTTTGAGAATCTGACTCCAGAATAAAGAGAAATGTTTTTAAGGATTCGACTTACCGAACGTAACAGGAACAAATGGCAAGTATAACAATCAATGTTATAAACCCAATCACGGAAACAATAATTATAACCATCGTCTGCATTCTCGTCTGGGTTAAAGCGGAGGAACAAATCGGTGGTTCATAGCCTAGTTTACACCCATTGTGGCAATGACCATCACTTCGACGGCAGGAGAAAGCATCATGGCAGTTTAAGCTACAGTTTCTTTCACACAATTCTCCAAATTTTCCTGGAATGCAGTTTACACAGAGTCCATTTGTTTTTTTGCATTTGGAACTTTCGCAGTTTTTACGACATGGTTTCTGGCAATTTTTACCGTATCGCCCTGGAACACAAACTTGGCAGACACCACTGATTCTGTCACAAATGGCACAAGACGAGAAAGAACAGTTTTTGTTGCAGTGTTCTCCAAATAATCCGTTAGCACACTCTATACATTTACCAGTATTGTCGCAACCAGTTTTTCCACAATATCCTTTGCATTCACATTTATCACCATACCAGTCCTTCTTGCATTCAAAGCAGTCTCCACTGTTTCTTTCGCAATTTCTGTCAATGCAATTTTCTGAACAATTATTTAAGCACTTTTTACCATAAAGACCAAGAGCACAATCTCGACAAATTCCATTTTCTAGACAGCCTTTAGCATCGCAATATCCTATACACGCACATGTATCACCAAACCAGCCTGTCTTACAGACTAAACATGTTCCATTTTCGCGATGACACCCGTTTGCACAGTTTTTAGGACAGGCTTGATGGCACTTATCACCAAACCAGCCTAATGTACAGTTCAGACAATTCCCATTTTCTCGATGACACCTATCTACACAATTTTTGGGACAGGTATTTCGACAATTCGCACCATGCCAACCAACTGCACAGTTCTCACAAACACCGTTAGCATCACATTTACTATCATGACAATTGCCAGTGCAGAGACATTTATTTCCAAACCAATTCTCTTTACAGGAGATACAAGAAACATTTCTCAAGCAAAAGCTTTCCTTGCAATTTGATGGGCATGGTTCCAAACAGTTTGCACCAGAAAAACCAGAGGCACATGCATAACATGTTCCATTAATGCTGCAGCCTCCAGAATCGCATTTCCCGCTACAACGACATTCATTTCCAAAATATCCTTCTAGACATCTTTTGCAATATCCAGTTGTTCTGTTACATCCCATGTTATTACAATTCAATGGACATTTTTGTAAACAATTACTTCCATAAAATCCAGATTTACAATTAAAACAGGTGCCAGTGGAATTACATCCAATCTCTCCACAATGTCCAGAACATGAGCACGTTTCGCCATACCACTTTGGTTTGCATTTATTACATTTTCCAGTGTCACGGTTGCAGCTATTCGCACAATGCATTGGACAACTTATATTGCAGTTTGAACCGTGCCAGTCAATCTCACAACTATTGCACCTGCCTTTGTCGTCACATAGATTATTCATACAATGTCCAAAACATTCACAATTTTGCCCAAACCACCCAGCTTCACAAGCACTGCAAAGGCCATCTCGTGAACATTTAGATCCAGCACAATGCTTTGGACAAAGTTTTAAGCAAAGATCTCCAGAAAAACCACTATCACATGCTAAACAACGTCCTTTACTGTCGCATCCTGAAGAGCCACAATGGCCAGTGCATTTACATCTGCTTCCAAAGAATCCAACTTTACATTCATTACATAATCCTGTCTCCCTCACACACCCTTTAGAATTACAGTTCACGGGGCAAGGAGACCTGCAGTCACGAGAAAACCACCCTGTCTTACAGGTCTCACATTTTTTATCAGATCTACATGTATCATTATTACAGTGTCCAATGCATTCACACGTGGGCCCCGACCAACCTGATTCACAAGAAGCACAATGACCGTTTTGTCTACCGCATGAAATCTCAGCACAATGGCTAGGGCACACCTTGTTACATCGTTCCCCATACATTTCTTGTTGGCACTCAAAACATCTTCCTGAATTATCGCAACCTCTTTCTCCACATTGACCTGTGCACGAGCATTTTGATCCAAACCACTCATTCTTACACTGGATACAATCTCCAGACTCACGGTCGCATCCTAAGTAATTGCAGTTAACTGGACATTGCTTTGTACAGATTTCTCCAAAATATCCTGCTGCACATTCGTAACAGAGTCCGGTATTGTAATTACATTCCGTCTCTCCACAGTGGCCGATGCAGTAACACTCATCTCCATATTTCCCATCGACACACTTTGAACATTTACCTGTAATTTTTTCACATTCGCCACCACTACAGAATCTCGAGCATCTTCTATTACAGAGAGCTCCATGAAGGCCCTTGGGACAAGATTGGCAGATACCACTTGTTCTATCGCATGATTCGGGACAGCTTGGTGGGCAACCAGATGAACAATCTTCTCCATAATACCCAATCTTACAAGCTGTACATCTAGAATTGAATAATATGATTATAGTAAGATAATAGTATGAATTTTCTTGAGGGCTTTATTAAATAATAAGAAACACTTACCTTCCAATGCTTGAACAATTTCCTTCATAACAATACCCAACACAGGAGCATGTCTTTCCTGAACGTTCGGGTATGCACTCTAAACAGTCTCCTGTTTTGATGTTACATTTCTTATCTTTGCAATTTGGGGGACAAGATTTATTACAAGACATCCCATAAAAACCAGGAAAACAATCAATACAAAATCCCGTTTCTTTGTTGCAGGTACTATTCAAACAGTTACTTGGACAAGAATTGGTACATTCTGAACCATACCATCCCCGATCACAGTTTATGCAAACTCCAGAATCCGTGTAACAACCATGGTCGTTACAGTGACCACTGCAGGAACATTGCTTTCTTTCCACATACCATCCTGCCTTGCAACTGTTACATGAACTGTCATATCGATTACATCCAGAGGCATCACAGTTTTTAGGGCATCTCTCTGTACACTTTGATCCATAATAACCATTTCGACATTCGTAACAAAGACCTGTTGAAACTTCACATTCGCCTTCCCCGCACACGCCAGTGCAGTAACATTTCTGTCCATACCAGCCATTCTGGCATTTATTGCATTTCCCTGTACTTCTTACACACCCACCTTTGCAATTCTCTGGACAGTCTATATTACAGGATTCTCCATATTTTCCGTCAGTACAGTTAACACAAATACCATTGACATCACACTGGTTCTCTTCCAGACATTGCCCTCTGCATTGACAACGATTCCCTGTCCAATCACTCAAACATTCAAAGCAATCCCCTGTTTCTTTGGAGCAATTTTGAGACAAACAGTTTTTGGGGCACGTGTTTTCACAAAGAGAACCAAAATATCCTGATAAACACACATAACAAGATCCACTGACTTTATCGCAACCGCTTGCATCACAAGTGTCTGAACAGTTCTTGTCACATTGTTGTCCGTAATATCCAGGTCTACAACTATCGCAGGTTCCACTTTTCCTATCGCACCGTCCTCCCATACAATTTGTGGAACAATTTAGAGTGCATAACTGACCATAAAATCCTTCTTGACACGTGCTGCAAACACCACTTTCGTCACACCCATCGTCCCCACTCCCAGATGTCATGCAGTATCCTTTGCATGAACATGTCTCTCCAAACATATTGTCCGCACAATGGATACACATCCCACTTTGCCTGTTACATCCTTCTTTATCACAGTTGCTTGGGCATTTATCAAGACAATTTTCACCGTGGTATCCCTTCAAACACTTGTTACATTTCTTGCTTTCACTACTACAGCCAGTTTCATCACACTGATAATCTTCACTATCACAGTAGCAATTACTTCCAAACCATCCCATCTCGCATCCATTTTCACAAGCCCTAGTAATATTATTGCAATGCCGAATGTCTTTTCGATAATAATAATCAAATTTAGTTACACAGTTAATTCCACATTCTTCTTCGCAGGTTTTGCCAATCCATCCTGGTTCACAGCCAAGGGAGCAGATGCCGTTGTCTGGGTTACAAGGTCGTACCCCTGCCAAAAAATCTTCCTCACATCCGATGCTACATTTTTTATCACACTGATCACTATAATATCCGCTTTTCACATCACATCCAAACGAACACACGCCTGATTCTCGGTCGCAATGCCTCCCCGATTGCCCCCCTTTACTCCCGTATATACACCCTCTGCCACAATCCAATTCGCAAATTTCTCCATACTTTCCTGCCTCGCATTCGGAACATCTACCTGTCTTTCTGTCACAATACCGGGCGCCTTCACCACTGACGGTTAACAAGAGACATTTGCTGCTACATTCGTCTGTGCATTGGTCACCATACCATCCCCCTACACACGTGACACATTCATTGGTAGATAAATCACAGTCCTTACATAAGACTGAACATGTTGAATCTAAAAAAAATAGAATAATCGAATCTAATTACTTATTTCACAAGAAGTTCAGACGCGCGCGATATCTTGTATGTTGTGCATCTCTTCTGTGTTTATATTTTAACTTAACATTTAGTTTGCCACTTAAAACATCGGAACTTGAGCGGATAAAAGTGGAACATATCCTCTTGCCTCTCCACTCTTCCAAAAAAAAAAAAAAGAAAGAAAAGAAAAGAAAGAAAATTCAGCCCATTACTTTGTAAAAATGGTACAAATACATACTTCTCTACTTTCCGTTATAAATAAGGGAAGAAAGAGAACATAAACACATACTTTCAAATTTTGCAAATTTTATTCCAAGAGATCCATTCTCCTTCAGACTCAAAAGTCCAGTTTGTCTTTAGGTTTGTTAAAGTTTTCATGTACCAATAATTTTATATCTTTTTCTTGTACACTACACTCGTCACCTTTTGGGTAGAATAATTCCAGAAAATCTTAAGATGGTAAACAGAATCAGACAAGATATTTCGTAGTTATGTTGCAATAGATGTACTTTGTGATGTATTAAACTTATCCTTTTTTAATTCATAACATGCAGTCTTATTCATATTAACTTAAACTGTAACATATCAATTTTTTTAATCACAGATTTTAAATTATAAGAAGGTGTGTAAATTACGATTAAAATTGCGAGATAATGAAGACCATACCTCCTTCCAAGGACAAATAATTAAGAAAAGGCAAAGATTTGAAGGAAAATTGGGCTGCAAAACACGTTTTCTGCAAAATGCACGCAAGCATTCAAGAATGTGCAGAATATAAAACTACCAATTTTGCAAAACAATAAGGTCAATCATGATTCACTATGATGTCCGAAGACTGTAATATAGATATTGAATATGATTTAAAATTAAGAAATTATTTTTAGTTTGTTACAACATTTATCAAGGAATGAAGAGGTTTTCTTGTAAACCATTGACAGTACCAACATATTCATCTTTCTATATATAGATAATTTAACGAGGAAATAATCTCGTAATATTTCGTTCTCTTAACTCTAGCTTCCCTGATTATAGATTTAAAGGGGAAACTTGTATAAATCTTTAATGACATGTTCAAATTCTTCTTAGTTTTAGCATTATTAAATTGAAAAAGGTACGTAAAGATAACGAACAATGATCTATCTGAAAAATCTTTTAATCAATAAAATTTGTGAAAATGGCATAAAACACGGACCCCTGGAAATTTCAGAGGTGGGATCAGGTGCCTAGGAGAAGTAAACATCCCGTGTTGACCGGTCATATCCGCTGTGAGCCTTCATTATTGATCAGGTAGACGGAATAATCCGTCTTCAAATCTAGTATAAAAATAATGGCCAATCGATTGGTATTAAACATGTCAGTCAAAATATGACCCAATGATAGGTTGTATTTGCAAACAAGGTCATTAAATGCTTTCTTTAACGAGGTTGCTGAAATCCCTTTAACACAATTTCTTTGTCGGTAGCTTGCCTCCTTTAAAAAATTGATCGTACATGTATTCATGACATACTCCTATGTATATCGAATAAGCTGGAAGACATAAACACCATATGCAGGTGATAATGGAATATTACTACATAAGTGAATTTTTGTCATTATTTTGTGCATATCCTCCGTAAAAATCTGAGACGTTTCTTGCAATTTGATACAGTTTCCTCTTGTTGATAAAAGTACTAAAACTAAAGACTACTACACGTAATTATTTTTAACGACAAATTATAATTACTAGAAGATGACAGATATTGACTGAATCATTCATACTTATTTAAAAAGTCATTTGTCCAACAATTGTCCTGATGATAAAAAGCGGAAAACCGAGCCCGACACTGCCTCATTTTCAGATTAAAAAGTAAAATTTACCACTAATGCCTCTTCGTTTAAGGTTTATCCACCCTCACAATTTTAATGGTCCAAAGTAGAAAAACTGCATTTATTTTCACAGATTATAGTTTAGATTAACTAATAATTGCATAAAATGTATAGGTTGCCATATTTTTTAAGATTTCAGACATACATTTTTAGCAAAAAGTATTTTAAAAATTATGTAAAAATTTGTTAAAATACATAATTCCGATGCTGAAAGTTCCAAAATAATTGCTACTTTATAAATATGTTTGAATTGTGAATGTCAGGGAAACTATTTTACATAAGAGGTACAATAAAGAAAATGCCTGAATGATGATACATGAGAAAGAGTTATTGCCCTTAGCAACATTTTTTTAAAGATTGATTAATTGATTAAATAAACAAAATATACATGTTTAAAATTCTTTAACTCAACAATAATTTTTATTACACCTATTGAAAAGCATTCTTCCAAAAGATATTTTTCTGTTGGGTATGAATTTAAATAAATAACAGTTTTTGCAAAAACCTATGACATCACAGGAGGATAGAAATACCTTAAAAGCAATATTTTCTTCGAACTTTTTAGGTTACTTGATTTACTCAGGTGACCTATTGCGATCTGTTTCCGTCTGTAGTCGTTCGTTATGTGTCAGTCATTAACTTTTGAACATTTTCAGCTTCTTCCCTTGAACCACTGAACCAATTTTAACCATATCTGGTTTATAGCATCTGAGTTAAAAAAAAATTAAAATTGTGAATTTCATGGTCCTTACCCCCAGGAACTGAGGGGTGGGACAAAAACCAAAAAAAAAAAAAAAAATTATAATAAATAATAATAATTATAATAATAATAATGCAATCTACAAAAATCTTTTTCCTTACTCCTGGGCATCAAGCAGTCAATCTTTTAGCATGATTATAACAAGCCTTGAGTCTACCAAAATTCTGAAATTCATGGCCCCAGGGTCAGGGATTCTGGTATTAAGATGGGGCTCTACAGTTCATACAGAAAATTCATAATTTTTTCAAAAATCTTCTTCTCTCCCCCGCGTACTAGCAGACAAACTTTGATGAAGACAAAGCATGATTCAAGGGTTCTGGTGTTAGATTGGAACTCTATTGATTATATAGTAAAAATGCATAAATTCTATGAAATTATTCTTTTCTCCTGGGTTTTAATCAGACAATCTAAGTGCATTATTATAATGATCAAATGCAACGCTTCCAAAGTTCATGGTCCCTGAGTCAGGGCTTCCCGAGTTAGGGCGTGGATCTATTGCTCATTTAGTAAAAATGCATTAATTCTTTGAAAATCTTTTTCTCTGCTTCTAGATGATGAGTGTATGGTTATGATGACAAGGGTGCCTCTTTCAAAATTGTGAAATTCAGGGCTTTATTTTTCGTATAGTGAAAATGCACTAATTCTTTAAAAATGTTCTCTATTCCAGAATATTTACCAGAGAAACTAAGTGCATCGTTTATATGAGCAAAGTGCTTTTTCCAAAATTGTGAAATTCACGGTCCCTGAGACAGGGGTTCTGGAGTTGGTATGGTTTCGATTAGAACATATATAGGAATTTTAACTCTGCTTTACGAGAAGTTATTTCCCTTTGTTATTCAGTTAACGATAACTAATTACTGTTAATAATGTAATTGATAGGTTAATTGAATAAAAGAGTTCTGCAATATTTTTCAATAAAAAAAAAATTCTTCTTACTTTTTAATAGTAAGGTAGACTTGTAAATAATAGATGAATATAAATGAGACAAAAATACTTTACAGTACCTCACTTTCATTAAGCATTATTCAAAGATCAAGAGAACCACTTGCTTGGGTGTACTTTGCCAATAGCATTATTGTCTAGATATGGTTGGTGATAATGAGGGAGTGTTAATAGTCCTGTCTTATGCAGAAACTTTCTGAGTTAATGCTGAACAGAAATAATTATTTTGATGATACATGTTCATCCTGTTTGTCTTCTAGTTGACTTTCAGTTTATTTTGTGTTATTATAATAATTTACCATTCCATATATCCTTCACAGGGGTGTATTATACTCAGGTGACCGTAAAAGTCCTTTGGCCCCTTGTTGTTAAATAAATTTCATGCAAAATCATAAATGCACCTGTTTTAAATTCCACTGAGATATTAAGTTACTAGAATCGAAACCCTTTACACAACCACAAGTGGTAAAAGTTAACGTAAAATGTCAAAAATTAAATGACGGATATCTTAATTACCAGATGTTGATTTACAGGTAGAGAAGTCAGCATGATTCAATATTTACTCAGAACATTCCAAAATACTTATATTGTATGCTATTTTCAGGACACACCTATATATAAACATTTCCCCCTATCTCCTGTTGTTTTTCTTTAACGTGCTGAAGGACATACCTTATGCCTTAGATATATAATATACATCTATATATATACGATATTCAAATTTTAAAAAAATATTTCATTTTTTATTCTGATAAACACAAGTCCCCTGTCCTGTATGTAGGTGTGAGGTAAAGAAAATCCATAATTTATGACGAAGATAGGACCATATGGGTAATTGTTTGTAATGCGGTTTGTGTCATTTATAATGCTTCATTTAAAGTCTTCATGCAATTTAAACACACTTGGCTCGTTTAATTTTATCAATGAGGTCTTTGTTCCTCAGTGACAACCAGACTGGTCTAAAAGGTTTTTATTTACCGCTGAATGAAAGGTTATAGTTAAAGTAATTCTACCGAGTGCCGTCGGACTTGTATCAAATCTACATATGATAATAATGATGTTGTATCTTTGGGGCATTGTGAACGGTGAACCAATAATCAGCTGATGATCGCTTCCGGTGTGTGTTCTTTTATTATCTAACGCTCCCCTTAATTATTTTAAATCAACATTTGTAGTCCGGGTCAGACACAATAGGTGGACTAAACAAAGAAACGTTACAAAAGTCACAGTTGATAAGTTAACTAAAACACTTTTTGTTAGAGGAAACAAAAACATTTATACATTATACATTTATACATACCGCAATCTCCGAAATAAGTGGCCAGAATGAAGAAACATGTCACTAAAACGAAGGTTACCGAATCCATTTGTCCTTTTCACAGCTTCAGTTTTTTTTCCCGAAATTCCAGCCATCTATGTTCAGTTCCTCATTAAATTGATCAGAAAAATATAGCGTTTTTCCTGTTTTGTCAGGAACATTAGTTCAAAGTAAGGATATCCGTTCTAATATGTAGTAGGTACATCTTCCTCTTTCATATAGCCAGCATTAACATGTAGACAGATGCGTGCTTTTTTTTTTTACAATACATGTAGTGTGTCATCGATTTTACACACAATGATTAAAAATAAACACGCGTAGTTCTCTATACACAACCCACTCACACCTGTAGGCCACGAAATCGGTTGTATGCTGCACTTCCGATATTCATTCGTTTGTTGTGTGTGCAGTTTAATGTCTATCCAAAGAAAAAAATAATAAGCGCCATGTATGCACATTGAATCTAATCATCTGCATGAATATCGACAAGGCTTACCGTCCTGTGACCTCTCATAAAGGAACTTCCTGTCTGCGATCGATAAGTTGTGTAATCGGATTATTGGATCCCAGTGTCGACTTCGGAATTATCGTCTCGTCACAAGAATACATCTAGACCATTGTCTCTTATTTTCTCAAGCACAGACTTTTGAAACGTGAAATGACGGAGAACATGTGAACATTAATCATATAAGCTAGGGTTTGTTTGTTTGATGTTTTTGTTTTCTTTTGTTTAATTACAAGAATAATAATTATATCAATTATTTTCATAAATACATGTACCTGTACATTCAGAATGAATTTATCAGATATCCAAGTGTGCGTTTTAAATTAAAAATGTTGCTCTGCATTAGCTTTTTTCCCCCTTTTGTTAAAAGAATATTTGTCTTCAGAAATACATACACATTTCAGAATGAAGATATCAGAAATCGTATGTGAGCTTAATTAAAAAAAAAGTTCTCCCACCGTGTTTTTTTTTTAAATTTTTGGTAATGCAGTTATCTCTCATATAATATATATTAATATATATATTCTATAACAACGAAAACCATAATATGCCCGTTGAATTGTTTTTTTTTTTAATGATTTTTGTATACATACATGTACACGTAAAATGTCTTCGTTTTGAACCTTTTTCTTTCTCTAGAATTCGTGGTTTTTGTATATTATTTGCACATATTCATATTATGAATATGTATTAAGATTGAATAATATCTATATTTTATATATGTATTGAATAAAGTAGGTTTTGTTAGCGCCAATTTAATTGAAATAATATTTAGAACCATTTTTTTTTTTTTTTTGCTAAACGTGCTGTAAAAAAATCCCCTCACTGAGCGACTAATAAAGTCAGAGACCTTGAATTTAATCATCATCATGGTAAATCATACATGTTTTCTTAATTTTCACCTTAAAGCCAATACTTGAATCTAAAATACATGGCAATGTTAATATTAAAACAGATAGAGATTTAACTTTCTCTCTCTCTCTCTCTCTCTCTGGATGATTTTATATGAAGGAATGTTTTCAATTTTCTCTCTTTGAAAAGGTGGACCTCTATTATGTCTCACTTATTTTTCTCAAGAGACATGAATTAAACAAATTTTAATATTTACACATTCATTTGACTACTTTTACCTTGCTTATCGGTGAACACCTTGTCTATCGGTCTGGTAAACTTCAAACCTTCAAAACGAAGTCTGTATTAATGACTCTGTGGAACCCACGCATCATGGCATGTCAAAATTAATTAGATAGTGCATCAAGGTGCAGCGGGTTACATTATTTTGACAAAAATTAGTGTTACCGTAGCAGGAAAAACTTTTCAAAGATTCGATTCATGGTAGGAAAATAATTTACCTATAGTAGAGAACACAAAATCATAATACAATATCAATGTTCATTAGTTATTTTGATTTTTCTATGTTATGATGAGGAATGTTGCCTCTTCCAAAATTGTGAAATTTCATTGCCCCTGGGTCAGGGGTTCTGGTGTTTGGGCGGGGCTCTTATAATTATATATAGTGAAAAATGTATTAATTGACCTGTAAAAAAGAAAACATAGCCACATGTGATTATTAATGTTCATGTGTTATATTTCTGTGACATACAGGAGAGAACACAAGGTCACATTTCAATATCAATCTTTCTTACATACATGTATATGTATGACCTGCAGCATGTATAGGAGAGAACTCAAAAGTCATTTCATTAGTTATTTTCTACCGTATAAATATCTGAATTTTTCAGATTTGTATTTTGAACCTACACGTAAAATTGATTATTTGCCATTTTAAAACTTAAAACTTTTGAAAGTTAGCTTAAACATTTTCCCCATTTTGCAAAAGTTTTGATCTAGAACTGAAGTACTTCAGGACAGGCCTGCCCCTAAATAATAATTTTAAGAAAATTGATTTTTGAATAGATTGTATTCAAAGGAAGGATTTATACTTATCGATTTATTATAGATTTTAGGTGCACCACAGCCCTGGTGTTGAAAATCACAAAAAAGCTACAAAAACAAGGAAACTTGTTTTGTCAATAAACGGTCCATTTTATACTCAGTATTAAGGCCAAGATGGATGGACCTCTGACTCTTAGTACTATGCTCTTTAGAGCCATAGTTCGAATCCAATTAGAGCTATACTTTTACTGTTTTGACTTTCATGAAATGTAGTTCAAACCACAATCATTTAGAGAGAGAGATTCGACTTAAGAAATAAAGTTTAACATAAAAAAAACCCACACACACAGGGAAAATTAGAAAAGATCAGGTACTGCAATCTGTGCAATATCTCTTCAGGGTAGAGAGGCAAACAATGTACTCATATAGCGTTTGGACTATACATGACTCAAAGGACAGGGACTGGTTTACAGAAGGTTTCCAAATTTGTTCACAGATATAAAAGGGAAAAATAGAATACAGAGCTAATAATAATCAACTTTATGTGCAGTCATTATTATGCAATACTTATCTTTTGTGTATATGTGTTGAGGGGTGTCAATGTATACAGTCGCATCATAAAGGATTATCTCTCTTTTTTCTTCCCACAAAAGGCTTCCAATTGTCAAATTACTATTCAGATATCTTCATGTTGTGTAGATTTTCTAGAGAGAAAAAATGTCATATCATCAGGTGGAGATGTGTAAGGCTCCCAAGTTTTACCACAGAGTAGATAAAGAGAATTTAAGTATATTTTCCTTGGTATATTTACTAAACCAGTTAATGTTACCTTTTGGCGACCCCAGCCTTCCATACAGTAGATTTATTTTTTTTTACTTTCTTTTCTTAATTAATATTTACTTATCAACATATTTTACATTGAACAATCCGGAACTTCTTGCTCTGACATTTCATCTTTGACATTAATGTGCAGGTACAGTCATGGATGTCCGGTACCAGCTTTGAAGAGTACAGTCGATGAGTCGTGGATGTTAGCTGACAGACCCCACTCGAGAGAGAAGGTCGCATGGGGGGGATGCTTATAACTGAAGTTCATATTACCTTTAAAGTCCATTGGTCTCTTTATCGTGACTGAATGACAAGTAAACTTTAGGTATGTTAGTTTGCTACCACAGGCACCTGTGTTTGCTACCCCCTCAAAAGATGTATGTGGAAGCTGAATCTAATATTGAGGGAGCGCTTGCATTTGCTTCTGGTACACAGTATTATTTGAAAACCTAAACATACGCGTCATTTCAATAAATCTGTCAATTTAATAATGACTTATAAGACACCCAATTATAAATTAGTTTTAAAATATCTCAAGTATTACCTTCCTCGAGAACTCTGCACGTTAAACCTAAATCCTCAAAGACGCTTTCTACCTCGACATTGCAAGAATTTGCAATTCATTACCACAACATTTCTTCTTGAATTACGGTGCTTATAACCTCGATATTTTCACCACTGGATAACTGATGTACATGTACACTGTATACGACCGAAATACGTTAAACACCATATTGCACATCTACATGACACCACCAACCATATTCCACAAGGTAATTTATACTGGAAAAAAATGCAAGAGGAGTTCTGAAACATGTTTTTCGATACCCAATTGTTCTTTAGGAGGAAAATGATAATTATTTTAAAACCCTGTTGAACATCTACAGGGCACAACAAGTCATACATGATTTCGCTACTGTGTAATTAGAAGAGTTCTTGGTTTTAGTAGAAATATGTCGTTTTTAATCCTAAATTGACCCCAGGGTAAAAATGAAAATTCTGAAGCTTTACTAACAATTTTCAGGATACCACCAATTATATTCCAAAAGATGAATTGCCTACTGCAAAATGTGTGAGAGGAGTTATGGGAACATTGTTTTTGTAGAAAAATGTTTTTAACGCCAACTGGCACCCAGGTTGAAAATGAGAATTTTAAAACCTTATTGCACATCTAGAGGACGATGAATTTGCTACTGCCTAAAATGTTCGGGTAGTTTGAAGAAGAACAAACATTCGGACTAGGATAACCACAACATAATCGAACTTTCTGTAGAAAGCTTGAGTATGATGAAGTCTTTTTTTCTTAACTGCTGATATATTTACATGTACTAGCATCCATTGTGTAAGGTTTTATGTTTAATTTTAATCTGGTTTCATAATCCAAGAATACGAGGGTTGTTCCAAAAAGTCGTAGACAATGTTTATAACTTTGTAAATATTCAACCAATACTAACCAAATTTTGCATAGCCATAATTTATTCAATGTTCCTTAAAATAGTGAATTCTTAAATAAATATCTTTCATAGAAATAATATTATGATGATTTATACATGTAGGTAGGCCGGTATTGTCTTTTGGTGCACGAACAAAATGCGGAATAATTTACGCATGTATCTATTCCAATTACATTTGTTACTCTGGTAATATGTAGAACATGAAAACTCAAATTTATAGCAGTGAAACCAGAAATAAAATCTTAGTAATATGTCAGATAATATTCACATAAATGGCATCAGAGACAGGGGATTGGTGCTGTTATTTTCAAAGTATTGTTGGAATTGAGTTTGATGCAAATTACGTCGTAAAACGGGGATTTATAACATAATAGACCGTTAGTAGAGAAGTTGTTTATAAATGGCATGAGTGATTGAAGGACAGTTTTCGCCTCTGTACCGACAATATTTAGGTCTACAAGTAATAGCTTTTCAAAAAGCTTGCCTGACTAATCAATCAATATCTATGGAACGTATATGCAAGAGAGGTGCTAAACGTTTCCGTCATCAAGGAGCGACATAGTTGCGATACTTCATTACTCAAGATGT